ACTCCCTTTTGGAGTGGGAATATATATTCTGTGCCATTTTATATTGGGAGTATGTAATTTGTCTTTCTGAATTTATAGAAGGTTACATTGTCTTGAGTCTAAGAAGAGATTTTGGACTTTGGACTTTTGAACAATGTTGAGACCATGAAAGACTATGGGAACTTTTAAAGTTGGACTAAATGCATTTTATGTTACGATATAGCCAGGAGCATATGGGGTCAGGGAGTGGAGTGTGGTAGTTTGAATGAGAATGTCCTCCATAGGCGCAAGTATTTTTAACACTTAGTTCCCAGCTAGTGATGATGTTTGGGAGGTTTAGGAGGTGACTTGCTGGAGGAAGTATGTCACTGGGCTGGACTCACTTTCAATTTCTCCCTCCGCTTCCTGCACATGCTTGAAAATGTGTGCTCTGAGCTTACTGCTCTGGCTGCCTCCTGCTGCTTTCTACTACCTTGCTTACCCCAATATACAGACTCTTTCTTTGGAATTGCAAGTCCAAATAAACTCTTTCTTCTATTAAAAAAAAAGGGGGGGGATGTAAGCACTAATGGAAGGAGCTGAGTGCTGTGGATCGCTGTCTCATGAACTCACAGCAGTTACGATTACCTGTGTAAGACTGAGCTTGTCAACACTCCCTCATTGATGGGAGAGGGGCTCAAAGGTCCCACCCTCCTTGAGGCATGACTGGCAGTTAATACTTGCTGTGGAAATGGGAGAGATTTTCTTCAGATGCAGGCTCTGGTAAGATGCCAGTGCGACTCTTTCTTTGGAATTGCAAGTCCAAATAAACTCTTTCTTCTATTAAAAAAAAAGGGGGGGGGATGTAAGCACTAATGGAAGGAGCTGAGTGCTGTGGATCGCTGTCTCATGAACTCACAGCAGTTACGATTACCTGTGTAAGACTGAGCTTGTCAACACTCCCTCATTGATGGGAGAGGGGCTCAAAGGTCCCACCCTCCTTGAGGCATGACTGGCAGTTAATACTTGCTGTGGAAATGGGAGAGATTTTCTTCAGATGCAGGCTCTGGTAAGATGCCAGTGCTCCTGTCAATAAACCCTCATCCATGCTCATGTAAGCAACCCTAACTAAACTCATTGGGTCATTTAAAAAAACAAAACCATCTGGGCTTGGTGGCACATGCCTTTAATCTCAGGGCTCAGGAGGCAGAGGAGGGTGGATCTCTGTGAGTTCATGGCCAGCCTGTTCTACATCATGAGTTCCAGGCCAGCTTGGGCTACAGGGAGACCCTGTCTCAAAGAGACCAAACAATAAAAATAAAAAAAAACAAAAACAAAACAAAGCAAAACAAAACCCAACAACTAGAAAGGAAACTAGTTGGGAAGAGAAAGGGGGTCAACAGGAATGGGAAGGGACAAGAGAGAAAATAAGGGTGACTATAACCCAAATACCTTTTTGTAGAAATATGGAAATGTCAAAATGAAAACCATTACAATATATGATTAACATATATGCTACATGAAAACACAAGCATAATCAGTGCAGGCTGGCAGGTGTGACAGGTAAGCCATTCCTAAAACAGTGAACACTGAACTGGCCCGTCATACTGCCGCATTGTACTACTACATCTATGTCATCATCTCTCTTGTACTTTGATACTTATTTTTGTCCCCTTAACTTCCAAAATCCCATTAATTTCCTGTAAGTATTTTCATGGCCATCTCTATCAGTAAAACATACATTCTTTGAAGATAAGGGCTGTGTCTTGGACATTATTTGCAGCACCTATGACAATGCTAGACACGATTATTGTGGAACAATGGTGTAAATAGTGGGAAAGCATGTGTGAAGGAGCTAATGTGGATGAGGGTCACTAAAAAGAAAATGAAAAAGAATATAGCATTATCTATTCCTATATATAATATATTTAGCACATGTATAATATATATACATGTATGCAAGCATATATCAGTCAAGATGTCCCTAAGTAACTTTGATTAAACTTAGCCCCATTAGTCACTGTTATTTCAATCCATACCATTTCTTCTTAATAGACAAGGAACATAGTAAGTTCATAGCTTTTTTTATTTAAAACAGTGAGAAATTTTTCTTAAGGTTGGAACGGTGAGTAATGAAAAGCCTTGGAGTTTTCTGCAAGGGTAGAGGAAGGTTCTATAGGTGCACAGGGAGGAACAGGGCCACTCCAGTCTCCTGAGTTAACCCTAGGATGAAGACTTGACTAACTGTGTCTTCCTCGTAAGACTCCATTGTTTCCCTAGCTCTTACTAGCTGCCTACCTTAATCAAGTACTTTCTTGAGTTCCTCCTTGAATTCAGCGTTTTTCCCTTGATTGACAAACCTACTGAACTCCAATTACCATATCTTCTGAGCAACCCACCATTAGTGAATGCACGTTTCACATCATCCCACAGTGGTCCTCAAACACTCAACTCTTTTCTCCTGTATCCCTCCCTAGCTGGCCTGAAACTCCCTATGTAGATCAGGCTGGCCTCTTACAAAGATCCACCTGCCTCTGCCTCCTAAATCCTGGGATTAAAGGTGTATGCCACTATGCCTGGCTTTAGATTATTCTTTAAATCCTATGATTTCTCTTATGTGTTAGCTTAGGCTTTTAAGTGTTTCTGGGTGAGACACATCCTAATACCACAGCTTCCCAGAAAGTTTTCAAATAATAAACACGTGAATGAACCACTGAAGAATCAACTCCCTCTGTTGTTTGCTCCTGAGGCTATGATATAAAAATGCACACATTCTACTTTGAAACATACCTGTGCCTCAGAGATGGTTCCTCAACTGGGTTGAGGAAAACAGGGTTATTAAAGTTGAGGGAAGAAAAAGAATCTATGACTAGGCCCAAGACTTGCTCTTTCATACTAATGCATGCACACACCCCAATATCATTAGCCTGCTCCAATTCTCTGTATTATACCTTCATGGCTAAACCTTGTAATAGAATTGTTATGAATTAAAACATGACCACCAAACCCTACAGGATCCTCTCCAGTGCAATTTCTGTTTGAGCAACAGTTGGGGCCCAGTTCTTTCATCAAAAACAAACCTTGCTTAAGAAGAGGCATACTCCTATCCTTCATCCCCCTAGTCCTCCAATTTAATCTTTTATTGCACTCAGTTTCAGTGGCACAGAGCCAACATTCTGAGTTCAAGCATTCATTTTTCTTAACTGTCCAGACACATGCACTATTTCACCCAAATAAACATCTTACATAATAAATACCTTGGCAATTCATCAACAGTTTCTTACACCTGGTGAGTGTTCAATGAAGGTTTTGTGTCTAGCCTAATAATAAAATACTTAGTACCAGTTATACTGAAAACCAACAGAATTTTCAAACCATACACTTAGATTCTATGGATTTTTGTATTAGGATCTCTGACTCCAAAATATCTGAAAATAATATTGCCACTGGGAAAATAGCCACCAGAAACCAAAGCAGTACTAAAATACTTACCATGCTAAAATGTAGCTTGTGAGACTTTTTTACATAAAAGAGTTATTACAAGACTATTCATGTTTTATCATTTCTCAGCTTTTTGGTTAAGATCAACATTTATGATATGATTTTTGTTCTCAAAATGATAACATCAGCTGGGCATGGTGGTGTACACCTTTAATCCCAGCACTTGGAGGCAGAGGCAAGTGAACTCTGTGAGATCAAGGCCAGCCTGGTCTACACAGTGAGTTCCGGGTCAGGTGGGGCTACAAGGAGACCCTGTATCACCCCCTCTCCCCCCCGCTTGCAAAGAAAACAGTATCTTAAAAGACATGATTGCTCCATCATGGATGGTTTTTTGTTTTGGGGTTTTTTTGGGGTTTTTTTTTTTGGTCTCTTTTGAGATAGTGTCTACCTGCTGTAGCCCAAGCTGGCCTGGAACTCACTGTGTAGACCAGGCTGAACTTGAACTCACAGAGATCCACCTGCCTCTGCCTCCTGAGTGCTGGGATTATAGGCGTGCACCACCAGGCCCAGCCTGTTGTGGCTTTCTTTTTTTTTTTTTTTCTTTAAAACACACCGATGCTTATAAAAGTCAGTACTGGCTGCCACAGTGGCCATCAGAGGCAAATATGTCTTAGACACAGTGTTCCGAAAACAGGCACTGAAATGATTAGCCAACATTTTATTGAAAAATATAGGAAGGTACCAAACATTAATAAAATGACATAAAGTTGGTGTTTCTATTTCATAGCCCTAAACTTAAGCCACAATCAGAATGACCTGGCAGAAGAAGGAAAACAAAAAGATCCCCCAAAACCAAAAGGCAGGGTAAGGTTACTATTGTAACACGATTAAGAAAATGGAAGAGAACTTCCTTCTAAGTCATTAAGCTCATGGATATTATACTGAACTCTGGCACTTAGTATTTTCTTGTGCCATAAGAGAATTTAGTAGGTTCTTTGAATTGACTGATTTCTTTGTTAATCTATTTACATGGGTTAAGACCCTGAGTGACATAAAACACAACCAAAAAAGTGCCAGACAGAGAGTGTAATGAAAGACTGACTGATGTATGCTTTGGGGTACAGCCTATCCAATAAATGTGCCTGGCTAGCAAAGAGCCCGTTGGCAAAGATTTATTATCGTGACAAATAGGTTCTAAAAAGATTGAATACACTCAAACTTGAAGTATAAAATCAAACTTAAATGCAATTCTTTGCCCTGTGTAGTTTACTTTTTAATGATACTTAAATTATCTTCATAAGTTTCTTTTAGAATAAATTTTTGAACAAGTAAAATCAATGAGCACAGCATATCAATTGCTGTACGATTCATTCTTTAATTCATTCTTTAATTCACATAGAAGTTTATATTACTTAGAATACTACAGCAACTTTTAACAGATATGTAAAGAAAAGGCAGTATTAATACAAAATACATCATCAAGTGAAATGGTAAAATATGAATCACTTAGAATAAATTACCATGTTTGAATTACATATATGACATGAATATCAAATTAGCAAAGTCAAGGCCAGACATAGAAAGCATGTTAAAAGTTATACCTCCAAGTTCTTTTACATTCAAGATGGCATTCTGGAATGGCACTGCCTTTATGCTAAAACCTAAAATTAAAAAACAAAAACATAAGAATTAACAATTTGAATTTTAAATTAAAATACTTGAGAGTCAAATCCTCTGTTTAAGACAGACTAAGAGTTGCACTCCATAGCTTATATTTATACTAGGAACTATCATTTCCAGGATAAACAACCTTACCTTATTCTCCACAATTCTGAAACATCACTGACCCAAATAACATTATCTCCCCTAACTCCCACCTTGCTTCACAATGCTGCCTGGCTCTTTAACATAAAATGAGCATGCAATTTTTATCAGTTATAAGAGACCATTAGAAATAGAGAAACTCCAAAGAAAATATTAAATTTACTGGGGTCTATGAATCTAATTCTTAATGTATTACAAATTTTTCTCACATATTACAACAACTAGTGATTATGATACTTAAATAGCAACCATCTTATATTAAAATTATCTTGTATTTGGGATAGTGTTCCATTTAAAGACAACAAAATAGGGGTCTGGAGAAATGGCTCAGCAGTTGAAAGCACTGACTGCTCTTCCAGAGTACTTGGATTCAGTACCCAGCACCAACATGGTGGCTAACAATCATCCATAACCCTAGTTCCAGAGAATCTAAAGCCTTCTTGCCTCCATGGGTATTGTATGCATGTGATACACATGCATACATGTAGGCAAAATACTCATAATTTAAGAATAAATAATTTTTTTAAAAATTTAAAGGGCACAAATAATAACTTATTCATATATTTTCTTTAAAAGTACAATCATGGGGCTGGAGAGATGGCTCAGGGGTTAAGAGCACTGGTTGCAGAAGACCCGGGTTTGAATCCCAGCACCCACATGGCAGCGAACAACCATTCTTAACTCCAGTTCCAGGAGATCCGACGCCCTCTTCTGTCCTCCGTGGGAACTGCAGGACACGGGTGCACTTACACACATGCAGGCATAACACTCAGACACATAAAATAAAAATAAA